CTTTTGCACTATTAGAGAAATCAGTGCCTTTAGCTAATCACCCTACTTGAAAAACACGGCAGTCACATACTATAGAAAAGTTGGATAAACCAAAATTATATGGGCAAATATACAATGTACTTTCATGGTTTTGATTCTTTAGATTAGAAGAGTTGCAGTGCCACGTAGTAGTAATTTAATGCAATGTAAAGTTTCCAGTTTTCACGGGCAGACACTATTTCCTGGAGAGGTTACAAAAGCTGCAGTTCTTTAAGTGAGAAATATTTTTCCGTAGAGAAATAAGAAATTCAAACTCAGTGTTTGTGGACAGTGCAGAAAGAATAAAAGAAAACATATAAATCTGCAAAGGTCCTTTGATGACAGGGACAAATAATTTTTCAGGAATCTTTAAGCTTTAAATGAAATTTTTATAGTTTTACCCTGGAACAGGTTGCCCAGAGAGGTTGCAGAAGTCCTATCCCTGGAAGCAATTCAAGGTCAAGTTGTATGGGGTTCTGAGCAACCCGATCTAGTTGAAGGTGTCCCAGCTCATTGCAGAGGGGTTGGACTCAATGACCTTCAAATGTCCACTCAATCAATAAAACCATTCTATGATTCTGTGGTTTTTCTATAGCTTGAATCGTTCATGCAGTAGCTGCTAAAGTCAGGTCTATGTTCAAATTGTATTTAAAAAATCAAATGAAGAAATTCTAAGACACAAAGTATTAGCTGAAATGCATGACTCACTGCAGTGTAATATTGTTATGTAGAGCTATAAAAATCTTTTTTTTTTTGAATTCCTGTGTCAGGGTTTCAATCTTGTAGTCACTCAAAGCTGTTTCTCACAGCACTGCAATAGAAGGAGAAAAAATTTAGCTACCGTACAAATTCAAGTCTTTCAGCTCTGTTTCCTTCATATATACCACTTCACATATCAAGAAGTCTTGATAAAATCCATTGAAGTTCATAACAGATTAGAAGGATGTTTTCCACATATATTTTAATTTTGGGTCATCTAACATTTTTTTAACCTTAAAGATACTTCATTTAATCAGCCTTCTATTTGTTTCAGTACAACAACAACTACATTTCCAACTATCCTGCAGTTCTATTTTTATAAAATTAGCTTAGAGGTTTTGCAATGCTAATTGCTTGCCATGCAGTTAAACAGCATGCACAGCTTGTAAAGGCATTTGAATCTTGAAGTATCCTCCTCACTTAATTGCAAACTCGAAATGAGGAAACAAAATTAAACTTATGGATGCCCTCTGTGCACGACTTCCAACGATGACATTTCACAGATGAAACAACAGGAATTTTGTGTGTAAAACTACTACCACCATATATATATATGTGTGTATATATATATATATATATATATATATATATATATATAAACATCCATGCTTACTCTGCTTTGCCTGTCATTAACAATTGTTATACACGCATGCAGAAAGTGGAACAGCTATGCTGGGCTAGGGGCATCAAGTAAAAACAATGAGGATATAACTGATTAATAAGAAGAACAGAAGCTCAGAAATGTGAGAAAAATTACAGTAATACAGGAAACAAACTACTTTGGATCTGGCTTTCGGAGATCCAATTCAATTCCAATAGCTCCCAACTTCAACAAATATTATTTCCAATCTGTTGCTGTTGCTGCTTCTTCGGAATTGCTTCCCTAAGCAGATAAACAGATGTAAAACACATTTTAAGATGTAGAAACATCTTTGCTTTCAAGTTCAAACAACAAATGTATTAGGAAGGCAGTGGAAAAGTAACATGTTTAGGCACTGACAAAAGAACAGATGCATCAATACTGTTACACCAGAAGTCCTGCCAGAAAAAAAAGGTGTCTCCATCAGTTTCTCCTTAAAACCAAAACCCAACAAAATCCCACACGTTCCTTCCTTCATATCTGAAAATGTCAGTTCTTCCTTCGAAAAAACATCCACAAGTTTCAGAAGAAAAGCAAAACAGATGCCCCTCGCCCCAGCACCACAGACCTGAATTCTCTAGAACATGTAACAGTACAAAAAAGAGATCCTAAATGCCACTTATCAGTTAGTTGACTTCTGTGGCATCTTAAGGCTTGTTTTATAATCACAGCTTGTTTTTTAATCACAGATATGATCTTATTGAAATACTGCTATTAGCAGATTGGAACTCAACTTCGGTGAGTTAGGCATTTTTAAGGTGACAGTACTTTTTTTTTCTGAGTTAAAAGCTGACTCGGTCTGTTGGATTATTTTAGGTACAGTGTGAATAAATAGGAAGGTGAAAAAGATGCTTATAGGGTCATAATTCAGCAGTAGACTACTAAATATTAAAAACCTCTGAAGCAGTCTGGATGATTGTTTCTGCTGAGCCAGAACATCAGAGACATTGCTGAATATTGGAAGCATCTGGTAGCATTATCTTGTTTTATGGACCTCAGTATCAATCATCTGATAGGTGCTTTTGAAATGCATGAGAAAGATCATCTCATTTTGAATTAATTCATTCAGAATCCATTAATGCTATCTGAAAATAAATTTGCAGAGAGTAGGAATGAGACATCACAGATTGTTAATGAAGATCCATTTCCCCACCACATTTTTTTTAAGAAACTTTAAAAAATACATTCCAGTCTGCCTCCCTAAGTAAGACACTGAACTATGAAGTGTAAAATGGAGTAAACACAATCACAGAACTGTAACATCAGTAACAGTGAAACTCAACACTGAAGGTTCTGCTGCCCTCAGAAAACAATGCTGGCACCCTGAAAGAATTTATCACTTTCTTCCACTTATATTTGGAAATACTTGAATCACTACTTTCTTCCAAACTTGTACCACTTACTGGAGAGCAAATAAACTCCACATTTATTCCTCTAATACAAACATCTTTTGACTTTTGAATTGCATAAATCAAATTTACATAATGGAAGGTCCAATGCAAAATTTAGATCTCTATAGTATTGAGATTCTGGCTGACCAAATCTTTTCAGTGGTTTGGTTTAAGCTATTTTTTCCAAAATTCTAATCAACATTGCTGCTAAACTGACAGTCTCCAAAGGTTGTGTTTTTCCAATATTAAAGTCAAAGTTCACTAAATATATTCTTTTATTTGAGGGCTGCTTTTTCAAGTAACCCTTTTTCCTCTCTATAAGAAGCACTTAGAAGCATTAATACATTACTGAAAGCCATTTAAATACAATAAGAAGTATGAATTGGGATAACATTTGCTAACTTCAACTTGCTGTTCGGTTTGGGATTTTTTTTTTTGTTTCTTTTTAATTACCGGTTCATCAAGCATTTCATCATACCTTGTCTGCATGAGGCTTAACACCTCATACAACAGATCTCATTTTCACCGCATTGAGTATTTTTTTCCACATACAGAAAACAAGTAAATGCAGCAGTAGGATCCCTTCACATTCCTAGTCATGTTGTTCACAAAGCATATTGTGTGAAAACTAAGACTAGGTTGTGGAATTGGAAGCAAAAATTATACATGTGATTAATGAGGAAAAAAAAAAGGATGATATCTCCATACCAGCAAGTAGTTTTGTGCCTGCTAGTGCCGCTGTTCACCAGTCGGGGGGGCTTTTTTCCATTTAGTTTTCTTTAGCATATTTATATAATACCTGTTTTCAATTTTGATGAAAGAGAATTTTTCAAAAACATTACTACAACCGCAAATATAGATAAAAATGTAAACTACGTTACAGTTTACAACAAAACTGGGAACAGATGAGGGTTGTAATACTACACAACTAGTGACATGGAGATCACCTCCAATGGTAGAGAGTATTCTCCCCCATGTTCCCAACCCTAAACTAGTCTGGGGCAGTTAAGAATAGCAAATGCAGCCCCAGCAGCTGAACTGCCACGTTTTTTGCACAGAATTAGAAGCTACTGTAGCTGCAATATCTCTCTGGTATCTTTTAGGATGTTCCCATCACAGCTCCCAACAAGTGGAATTAATCAAGGTCCAGCTCCGTCTGGCTGAATCCAAGCGACATCAGTGATGCCTCTGCTCTATGTTCCATACTGCAGTTTAAACAGAATGATATCAATATATTCAATCTCGCTCAAAATGTACCTATTGTTGCAGTTGATGGAAATACCTATGCAAGTAATTTGCGAATCCCCGGATTACAGCTTTTTTTCATTACCATTACAAGAATTAATTTACAAATCAGAAAAAAATTGCAAATTCCTTTCTTGTTTTCCTAAAAAACTAAGCAATATCCTCACCAAGACTAAGCACATGTAAGATCATAGAATCACAGAATGATTGTGAATGAGCATTCCAAAAAACTAAAAACGGTATTTAAATAATTTTTAAATTTTGTAAAAAGATAAAAGTAATGCTGAGAGTTGAGATGATAGTATCTGCACACAAATTCTAAATTTGGCTCTACTAATATGGATTCCATCTCATACACACAAATCCAAGCTAACTTTAATCTTGCCACATTCAGTACTAACGGTAGCAACACTCCAGCATAAAGCTTTGCAAAAGGGCAGCGTGGCATCCTGGGTACCAAAAACCAGCCACTAGACCTGGGCTGCTGCCAGTGCACTGCTGGTTGTATCAGAGCCAACTGAGAACCTGCAATTGCACCTACCTATTCACTGTCAAGTGATCCTTCTAGAACTGAAATGCATTATAAACCCACCCTTGCTCCATGCAGAAGAGAGGTCTGTGGCACAGACAGCTCCTCAGCCTGCACCTGGGTTTGCAACTGCACACAAATGCAGCGTTTAATAACAGAATAAAAGGAGTATGGCTGGTCTCTTAATATCATAAGCATAAAACTACATGCAAGTAGCAGCAGCACCAGCTACTGTTGAGTAGCCCACCAGCAGCAGGTACTGAATCTGCTCAGAACTACACAGGCTTGGAAGCAAACACTGCAGCAAGGTTGTACTTGTCACACACTTCTGACTACACACACAACAACACGGCACCAACTCCACTCCTCCAGTTTTCTGCAATCAGGTCAAGATTTTATTGGCTTCATCTCCATAAATATACATAGCCTGGAGAAGCATCATAATATAAGAGGCATATATTGTGATTTGTCTCCTTTTATTTCCCCCTGCTAACTTCCATTACATTTATGACTTAATATACAGTTCATTATAGAATCATAGAATCACAGAATAGATTGGGTTGGAAAAGACCTCCAAGATCATCAAGTCCAACCCCTGATCCAACTCCAATTACTATATCACGGCACTAAGGGCCACATCCAATCTCTGCTTAAAAATCTCCAGGGATGGTGAATCCACCACCTCTCTGGGTAGGCTGTTCCAATGCCTGATTACCCTCTCTGTAAAGAATTTCTTCCTAACATCTAACCTAAACCTCCCCTGGCAGAGCTTGAGCCCATGTCCCCTTGTCCTATTGTTGGTTGCCTGGGAGAAGAGACCAACCCCCACCTGGCTATAA